TCCAGGCGTTGATTTCCTCTCAGGAATCTGGAAACTGAATCCTCATGGCTGCTGAAAAAATAAATGGCTTGAATGTATGTCGGATTTTTTTTTATAGCCTATATAAAAAGTTGACTGGATTTGCATAAATACACTGAACTAACCAGTTACACTTTAATGTAACATATTAAGTGAGTTTAGCTTTCAGGATCACTCAGTGCACTCCTGCGAACCCAAAAAGTGAATTCATGGACTAATTTAGGAGTAAGCCTGGTTTACAAATCTAGATAGAATATTCCTTTTCTGAAAGAACTGGCTTAGAGAGGTGAATCTGACAGCGTCAATCGCAATAAGACATCAGAGAAAAATCAGCATTGAAAGAGGGTTACAACTTAAAGCAGCAACTGGTAAAAACAAGGCACCCGAAGCAGTTCAATTAAGCATCAATTAAAATGCTCCCTAAAAGTTTGTTACAGGTAGTTCTCTTCTTACAGTCACAACTGAGCCCAAAATTTCTGTTGCTAAGCGAGATACGTGTTAAGTGAGTTTTGCCCCATTTTATGACCTGTCTTGCCACAATTGTTAAGTGAATCACTGTCGCTGTTACGTTAGGAATAGGGTTGTTAAATGAATCCGGCTTCCCCCAGTGACTTTGCTTGTCAGAAGTTCGCAAAAGGGGATCACGTGACCCCGGGACACTGCGACCGTCATAACTATGAGTCAGTTGCCAAGCGTCTGAATTTTGATCATGTGACCCTGGGGATGCTGCAACGGTCATACGTGAAAGACAGTGATAAGTCTCTTTTTTCAGTGACATTGTCACTTCGAACGGTCACTAAACAAATGATTTGTAAACCAAGCTTTTACCTGTATTTTCCCCTTAATTAACCCACCATTTAGTTGCACAGGCCAACCCTAGTTTTACAGTGGTGTTCTCTTCCAACACCCATATTCTCCGAAAAAACTTCCTCCTAACCAATAACTAAAGAATTCAGAAGAAACTGAGATTGAACACGAAGCTAAGTACAGGATAGTCAGTGTCAACTGCAGGGATCACCTATGAATCCACAAGGCTTCATCTTTTAAAAATGATCATTTATGGCCCAACACCATTTTTTGGGGAAAAAAATAAGTGTACAACTGTTGATCAGATATCAAATATAAAGCAACAATAACTTGGAATAAGAAAATGAGAATATTAGTGTAAAGGAGGCATCACATAGTATCTATGAGCCATAACTAACATTAAAGATTTGACCAACTTGCTGGAAATTATTACTTTTGAAAGGGGTTACTTCCTCCATCTCA